AATTAATCTCTGTACAGGTTTGGTAAATTTGACCAACCTCGCAACCACTATAAAAAATTAGGAATAAACATAAATTATGCCTCTTTCATTCCAGAATGAACTTAGATTATAACACAAAAACATAAATGTTTAGATGACCTTTCACTCATGCCTGGCTAACAATACAGAAGTTACAATGACACGGCTCACATGCACTCATGTTACTGTATCAATTAAGTTAAAGGTGACCCTTGGTCTCTACAAACTAACTTGTCTTTGCTGTGTTTTAGTCGACTAGTATTTTGTAAAATACAGTCACATTTCAATTATTATACATTATATATGTATATAGATTATTGCTATTTTGAAATAAGTTCTTAAACATATTTTTCCTAAAATATAGAACATAATTGTTTGCTTTACTTCTTTATTTACTCCTCTTCTAGTTACAACCTTTGTACTCGGTTGCTGGTTGATGTAGGTTGCTAAGCCTTTAAAAATTGTACATGTGGAGGATATGAAACAAAATAATTTTTTTAGGTTTTGTATACACATTTGAATAACTAAAAAATCATAAATTACTAAATTAATACCATAGAGTTCCACTGTAATTTATCAAGCTTAGTAACTAAGATGTATTTTAGTCTAAAAAATTATGAAATTTCAAGCAGACTAAAGACATAACCTATCTCCTTCAAATATTGGTTCAAAAGACAGAAATGGCATCCAAGCCCATTAAAATGGCTGAGAAAGCCACTAGGGGGACATTCTGAGCTTACGATTGGTTATTCATCTCGTATATAGAAGTAAGTGAATATAAGAAAGCGTTTCCAAAAATGGAAAGAGGTGGGCGGGATGCCACTGTGCTTGATTTATTACATGAGCAATATTTTAGTAAATAGAAAAGATAAGACATTCTTATTTTATATTCTAGCTTGTCAATATCGGTACTTTGAGTTTCTAATTCGTTTGAAACTGTCGACTTCATATTTTGACTTTACAAACATGTAATTGGAACCAGTGCTGCATTCAACATACCATGTGACACACAAAAATCGATGTTTATCTGTGTTTTTTTAATATTTGCTTTTAAAGTAAGAAATGGATAATATATAGTACTAAAATTTGAATTATAAAATACAGATTGATACCAAACTCATTGATATAAATTCATGAAATTGTAGTTCAATAAAATTTTAAATGCTAGTCAACAATCAAAATGACACAGCCTTTCGCCCGTGACTCGTCTCGAAAGGGTTCACTCACTGTTGTTTGGTTCACTTGGAGAATAGTATGTATGACAAGGTTTGAATTGAACCGAGTTCACTTGAAGATGTCGTCTTAGTCTGTGTGGTAAATTAGCTAAGTTGAGTTCACTTGATAAACTTAAATGGAGGAACTCTGACCAAATGATTAATATTTACCAAATTGCAAAAGGAAATGTCGAGCAAAGTAAATTAATAATGAAAAGAATTTTTGAATGGGTAAATGCCCACTGGTCATATAAAAGTAGGGTTAACAGGATTTTACACAATCCTTTTTCTTTTGCTCCTAATGATGTTTCTGTTCTCTGGAACAGAACGTAGTTTCTGCAATGAATTTTAAATTAAACAAGAAAATATCAAAAAGCACTTGTAGAAGTAGATATTGTGCATTTTTTTGTTTTTATAGATTAGAAAATCTTACAACTCGATACTTTCTTATAAATATAGAATTTTTTTATTTTTCTCTTTAGATTTTGTTGTTTTTTTTGCACTAGATTAACCCTGGTAACATTTTTAAAAAGGTGCCAGCATTAATGTCTTGAGAAGTTGTTTCATGGTAGATGTACGATTCCAAGTCTTACCTTCTTTGCACTAAACCTCAAAGTACAGACTTATTTTTATAGTTTTCCTACTAGTTGGGTTTTTGTATTGCATTATATTGAGTGATTTTATGCTTTTGTTTTTTACAATTAACATGCAGTGGAAAGAAAAAGACAGAAATTAGGTAAAAATCGCTCATATTTTATACATAATACTTAAGGAGCTCCAGTAGTAATTAACAGGATTATTTACAGTATTGATGATGTTTTTGTTTACAGTTCTGTTTGTGTCTTATGTGACATTAGAGATCCTCTAACCAGCAGTAATTAATGGGCTTAGTTACAGAAATTATGATATTTTTGTTTACAGTTCTGTTTGTGACTTGTATGATACTAGGGGGTCTTGTAACCAACAGTAATTAATGGGCTTAGTTACAGTAATAATAATATTTCTGTTTACAGTTCTTTTTGTGACTTGTATGATACTAGGGGTCCTGTAACCAGCAGTAATTAATGGACTTAGTTACAGTATTGATGATGTTTTTGTTTACAGTTCTGTTTGTGTCTTATGTGACATTAGAGATGATGTTTTTGTTTACAGTTCTGTTTGTGTCTTATGTGAAATTAGAGATCCTGTAACCAGCAGTAATTAATGGGCTTAGTTACAGAAATTATGATATTTTTGTTTACAGTTCTGTTTGTGACTTGTATGATACTAGGGGGTCCTGTAACCAACAGTAATTAATGGGCTTAGTTACAGTAATAATAATATTTCTGTTTACAGTTCTGTTTGTGACTTGTATGATACTAGGGGTCCTGTAACCAGCAGTAATTAATGGGTTTACTTACAGTAATAATGATATTTTTGTTTACAGTGCTGTTTGTGACTTGTATGATACTAAGGGTCCTGTAACCAGTAGTGATTAATGGGCTTACTTACAGTAATAATGATATTTTTGTTTACTTGTGACTGACTTGTATGATACTAGGGGGTCCAAGTTGGAGCAAAAATAATTTAGATTTTATTTTTTTTAAGACAGTGGGTTATGGACCTCATCAGTAATTCTAACATTGATATAAAATTTATGTAAACTGTACACAGATTTTGCTGTATGTCAGTTAGCATGAGGTGTATATTGTAAATGTAATGTATTTGTGTAATTAATTATGTAAAATACGTGTTTTGGAAGGACTTAATATAAGAACCTAGTTTAATTAATACCATATAATTCTTAATCTGAAGTGTGAAGTTTTGGAAAAATATAACGAACCAGAAAAATAGGTATTTAATCTGAAATACTGCTAACTACTTCTTTTTTTTTCACCCCCTTCTTCTCAGGAGAACTTCGTCACATCACAAAGTTGAAACCATGGGGACTTATAGAGGTCCTTACAGAAAAGTACGAGTGGGATATTTCAGAAGCTCAAGCATTTACTGATTTCCTGACACCAATGTTAATGTTTGACCCGAACCTCCGAGCCAAAGCTAGTGATTCTTTGAAACACCCTTGGTTAAAGTCATGATTATCAATCTCTGTAGCCTTTGTTTCCCTTTCTGCTCCTCCTAACTTGGGGAATTATTTTTAGTTCAGTGGGTTCCTCCTGCATTTAGCCAGCCATGTCTTTAGTGCTGTGGTATTTTGCTCGAGGCTGGAACACCATGTTTCTGAGATGTGACTTTTGATTCCCCCATATAGGATCTCATTATAATGTATTTAAAACTATTTTCCCATCAGTACACTGCTTGGATTCTTGACCAAGTATGTGAATGTGTGTAGTGTTGTGCATTGCTGCAGATCACAATGATTTCCATTGTTAAACGATTCTGTCAAGTCTTGTGGCAACCATTGTTAACAAAAGAAAAGAGTACAATAATTTAGCAGCATTAGATTAATGGCCTTGCAGCCAATCCAAGCTCTTCTGTTGTATTCTACTTTAAGTTTATAAAGTATTTGGATAGCTAGGCTGAAAAAATGGTAGCTAAGGCAATACAAGTTGTAGCATTTAAGTTAATCATCTTTAACTTTCCTATTGCTTGTTTTTTTTTATTAAAACGTTTAAGTTCTAGGGAAGTTTACTGAAATCTTTAGTTAATGCTGTCCATGTTCAGAAGTAATTTTTTCCAAGTGCAGTTTAGATATGGTTGTTATTACGGATTCACATTATCAAAGCAAGGAAAAAAAAAAACATGTTTAGCCTCTCTCTAAAGAATAAAACCGGCAACTGTCTCTGCTAAGCTTGTCTCGGTGTCTGATGTACTGACTGCAGCCTTCTGATGTTAGGGTGATGCATATTTAAAGACAAGTGCAAGCATGAAGACCAAATACCATAAAATAATATAAAATTTCTTAACATTGTTCTCAAAGTAGATGGTAATGAATGTCACCTTGTTCTTTAAAAATATTGTTGAAATTCAAATAAAGTGACAGTAAGAAACACAGAAATATTTCTTAGAGCTCTTTAAGAAGGTACTGTAATAAACCAAAAAAACTATTAAATATCAAAAGGACTATAATTTTAAAATATGTAACTGTGTTGAAAAAGCTCTCCGAAAGCCCTTTTTAAATTTGGAGTTTTTTTTTCAAAATAATTTATATAAGTAGAGATTTTCAGAGTTTCTTATTTGTTTACTGATTTAAACTACAGATTTTTCAGATGTTTTTCCTACTAAGAAAAACAAATATTGCAGTATGAATCAACATGATTTATTTTGATACTTCATGCCACCTATTAAATATTAGTTGTTTAATATGTTTGTGTACACTTTGCTTTCAGTATATGAAGTTTTATTATTTACTAGATTCAATATCTTCTAAAAATTATGTTAAGTCCAAATGTAAAAATCTCTGCATTCGTAATAATAGTTAACCAATATAAAATCATTTTACTGAAATTTGTGTTCCCAAAGAAGTTGGAAAGAAGAACTGTGACACTCTGAGGTATAATTGTAAGCAACTTGTGTAAGGCATAAGTTAATGAGAAATAGTTTTAGCTCTAATCTCACTTTGTGATGGAGTTGAGAAATAGGGCTAGATAGAGTAACAAAAAGGATAAATTTACAGTAGTTAGTCAGAAGTAATGATTTTTTAGTCTACTCTTAAAACTGTATCACTATTAGAACTGAATTTGCTACACCTTCCTTGTAGAACCATATACTATCCAGGAACTACTTAACTTCAGCTGGTATAGATTTGGATGAGTCGTTTTTCCTCTCTCTTCAACTATTTTGCAAATAAAGTATTAGTTTGAGGAGCCAATAGATTTTTATAAATGCATGGCCAGAATCGGGAATGTACGTTTTTGTTTAGTTATCCATAATCGCTTAAAGAGTCTTGATGTAGGAGTTTAACATTTTATTACGCACTGTTACAATATATTTCCTTATTTGTTTGTTTGTTTGTTTTTTTTACACATTTTATTCCAATAAAAGTGTCGATCCAGATAAATGGTAATATTTGATAAGATATGTCTGGTTTTCAAGATTCAAAACCTTTAAACTTTGGCACTGTTACAACTTATCTCTTGTACTAAATATGCCAACTGACATTCGAGGAAAACAAATTTTTCAAAGCAGTGCTACATTAAATAAAGAAAGTAATGGAGTACAGTGCTAAAAATCGGGTTTCGATACCCGTGGTGGGCATAACACAAATAGCCCATTGTGTAGGTTTGTGCTCAACAAACAAAACTGAAACACCTTTATTTGGTCTTATTTTACGTAATGATAAATTCTAGTAATAAAGAAATGTGTATTCCTTAATTCGTGATGTGCCCTGTAGCACATGCACATTTTAATGAGAAGAGTGCTTTTTTTTCGTTGTGCATAAATTTTAAGTACTTCGTCAGAGTATAGAAATGTTAAGAAATTTAATGATAATAGAGCTTTAGGTGGTGACGTTAATACTCCCGTTTCAGTATAGAAGAACGAGACGGGGAAGCGTGTTTTATTTTGATAGAATAAAAGTGTGCATTACTGATTGAAAATATATCTGTATTTACAGAAATCCTGTTGTATTATAAATAAAGATCTGTTATCGAGCAGTGGTAACAGTAAAATTTAAACATTAGTTATCAGAATTCTCGGTTAAATGGGCCTAAGATTTGGGTAATACTAATGCACATGTAAGTCATAAATATCAGAATTCGACAGCCTCTCATCGCCCTTTCCAACTGACGAGTTCTGGTATTGAACGAAAGGTATCTAGGGTAGTGACTTACGGTAGACAAGGGGAATTCAAAATGGACAAATTAAGAAGGCTGTGAACAATCTGTAGTTTACGTAATTTTTGTCACAAATGTGTCTGCGTGTTAATTTTCTATTGTCATCTAGTATATATAATTATTTTAGCTTTCTACACTACTTTTTGCCTACAGTTAGCTTGAATACGTGTGTAATTATTATCCTTTATTTAAATTATATGGACCCGTTCGATACTGAAATAATCATGAATATTAAATAGAATTAATTCTGTAAATGAAAAAAAACTAGTATATAAAATAGACGTTAGTATTCGGTAGACGTTAAACTAAATGAAAAGTCCAAAAGAGCTTGTGAACTTGATCTGTAGTCAAAAATCTGTGTAGAAGGACGTTTTATCGTACCAAAGTATAAATAAATATATGTAAATGTTGTTGCAATGCATTGTAGGCAAAGGTAAAATGAGAATGGTGGAATACACATCAGAAGAAAGGTTAAAAGTGATCATGGATTTTGGCCTATTTTTAGGGATGATAATGCTAATGTGTAAAGTATGACCATAAAAAATGTATACAGTAGCGAAAATTATTATTGAAACCCGTAAGTGATAGGAGTTTCAAACAACGTGTAATGGCAACTAGACGGTGAATTTATTAGTGGTGCAAAACATTAACCCTTAAAATACAGAAGAAAGGCGAATAATGTTCAATGCACGAGTATTTGAAATCCAGTGTCGTAGTAGTGCCACCGTCCTGGCAACTGATGTTTGATCCGAGTCCCGACGCTTTAAAAGAACTCTTGGCTCACTTTGAAACACTTTCTAACTCGTTTTGCGAGATGACCTCGTCGAACGTGATTACACGCATTTTTGAAGTACAAGAATTTGCCTTTTGAAAAATTCGACAGCCTTGGTTGCTTATAACAGTTTATTCAAATAATGGAGACTAGTTTCATTTATCAGCCGAAAAAAAAAATGTGTTCAGTATTTAATAACTGTTGTGAAGCGTACAAAGTTACGTTATACAAGTTACGTTTTTCAGAGACAACGTATACATTCCATGTGATACAAAACTGGCAAGACCAAAGAAATCCTTTCACGCATTTCTAAAGTAATTTTATGTAAAACATTACCATGGAGGGTTATGCTATACTAAAGTGCCATATTTTTCTGTAAAAATGTTACCATGGAGGGTTATACTATACCAAAATGCTATATTTAAAGAGTGTGTAAAACATTACCATGGAGTAACATATAATACCAAAGCGCCAGAAGTTACCAGGATTCCTAACATATCATGAGAACAGCTCCAAACATATTTCAAATATCACACACAATAGATAAGTAAACAAACAAACGACACTCTGGGTCAATATCTGATTTCCGTAGAAGAAAAAGAAATAAGAGTACTTATAAAGTCAAAATTGACTAAGACTAGTTAGAACCAAGTTTTCCCAGTAAATACTGATAGCCAGCTTCTATTTCTCTTACGGTATGTTATATTAAAATCAATATCAGACTCAAAATTCACAAGTAGGGTCGAGTTGCGATTGCTACAAATTTATCATCAATATAAAAAGTTTTTTTTTTTTATATTTGTTGGAACTCGGTAATTTGAAATTCAAACCAATGGAATCGGAAAAAAAGAATTAAACACGAAATTTGAACCCGGTTTGTCCAGTTAAAAAAAGCCATATATGTGCACCACTGATGAAACGGTTACTAAGTTTATTTAAGTTACGTACATGAGTTCTATCTACAGTGTTAAACTTGAGGGGCACTTATTAAGGCGCATACCTCCGCTACGCAGCGTTGATCATATTAGGCCCTCACAAAATACAAAAATGGGTCCTATGTCAGTCGCGATCATCGGACACGGACCATTTTTGGCAGGACAGTGAGGGATAATATTCCACATATGTTCACCTGACTTCATTAAAATCTGATCATTTTTGACTGAGTTATAGAGCAAAAATAGTGTGAAAAATCGCTCCCGATGTTAACAGATGGGGATTTGTGGGACTTTAGTGACCTTGACCCTCCAAAAACTAATCACTTGTAAGTTTGGTCGTAGTCCAAAAGTATACCAACATTCAGCCATTTTCGAGAAACCTTGCTGACGAATACACACACACACAGGTTGTGAAAAGATAACCTCCGTCTACCTTAGGTGGCAGAGGTTAAAAAAAAAAGATACAGAATCTGAGAATGCATGATTTTGTAACAGAAAACCAAACTAACCATAGTTTGTCATTTGCTGCTTCCAATATTAGGCTATCCATAAATTAAGGCTTTACTACATTGTATCAATTTTTTCTGCTCCTTGGGCGCTTTCACAGTCGCATAAAAACATGCGAACAACAATGTCAATTTGTTGCCGAAATTATTAGAATTTCACGAAAAACTACGCTCGTGAATAATCTCGGTTGAAGTAATTATATTTATGTTCTTACCAATAAAAAAAACTACATTTGCCCCCTCTCTCTCTCTCTTAATTTATTGGCCGAGAAGGATTCGGACCCGGAGAACCCTCCAACAATGGAATCTAAACGCTAACGTCACTGCGTGGCTATGTTGTCTCCAAACGGGTTGGAAGTCAATGACGATTTGGTTGTTGAAATCTCACGACTAATGAGATTTACATTATCGTAGTTATAAAATCATTTATTTTTTGTTGTACTCTATGATATTTTAATATTCGGTCGATAAGTATTATTGTAGGAATGCAATATTGTTAAGATAACTATTCTTTCCGATTTTGATGGGACAGTGTAGCTTTTCCATTCGTGTGTCTCGGAAAGTTCGATATTTTATTTTTGTTTGTTGATGTTAAGGCAAAGCCACATTGGGCTATCAGCTGTGTGCACCACGAGGAATCAAACACCGGATCTTAGTGTTATAAGCCTATATACTTATTGCTGTCCGACTGGAGGACTTGATATTTTATCCGGGATATTTAATCGTGTCATTTTTTTAACACATTGCCCCTAAAATAGCCATGTTTTGTATTTCAAAAATTATGTACGCCATTTACATGCTAAAATCACTTTAGCTTTAAAGTGCTGCTCTATTATTCTTTTTTTTCTATCGTCGCTTTTATTGATTTCATCATTCTAGAGTCTAGTCAACATTTGTCCACATAGGTAGTAATGGAAACGACTCAAGACTCAAACAACAATTAATTGTTAATTTCTAATTCTACAATAGCTCCTTTCTGTAAAGTTCATTGCTTTGCTATATTAGGCAATCCAAAGTTTTTGTAGAGGACTAACCATGCCAGAGAGTGAATTTTACAAAACGCCACAAGTAGGAACACAGTCCAAGAACTCCTCTTATCTCACAAGATTTCTGCAGTGTTGGCCAATTGTGGATAGGTTCAATCTTTTCTGGGTTTCTAGACACCTCACTGAATATGTATTCCGGGAAATTCATCTGTCAATAAAGACATTCAAACTTCTTGGGGTGGATTCAGTTTAAGATATTCTTTCTCAAGCAATCAAGTATTGTGTACCCATCAAAAGCATTAGTGAAGGCATTCCACATGTAATTATGTCAAACAAGTAAATGAACACGACATATCAGGGTAGTACAGAGAGAACATATTCCATTAGTCATTCAAATGTGGTAGGTGCATTTTATAACCCACATGTTAACACAACAAATTGTCACAATCATGTTTGTGCAGTAAAGGCTATCTTTTCTCGGATCGCTTCGTCGACTTACACTTGCCAGTCTTCATTCTACAAATCCAGTGACGAAAACCATTTTGATCCAGACAAAGCATCCAAAATAGTTAGTCTTAGCAGTGAATAGAAATTATTCTTTGTGAAGTTAACCACCTTCCTATATTCCACAGAAAGTCTTGTGGACTCGTCCATTTTCTTAACCAATACAGTAGGTAATACTCAAAGACTAGTACTCCATTTGTTACTCCTTGTTCTTTCTGTTTCTATTTAGTTGAGAGTTTCAACCTGTTTTGCAACTGCAAGTCACTGACAAACTGACACATTGGAAATCCATCTCCAGTACCAACCTTAAAATACATCTTATTTGTCTTACTTAAGTCATGAGGTTCAATAGAGAAGATATTATAGTATTCTATGAGCAAGCCACGTAATCTATGGCATTGATCAACTGTAAAACTTTCACAGCTCCAATCATACAGCTGCTGTAAATGAGGCATGAGCTCCCATTATATGAAAATTTGGCATTAGACTTTTTATATTTTGTTTATAAGATGGCAATTTCTATTGTGTCTTATTTTCTTGTGTGGTATTATAAACTGTACCAGAAACAGAATGTACATTGCAGAGCTGCAGACAAAATCCCGTAAGAAATTAAAATTCCCCTCAAAGGATGTCAGAAAAAGGGAACTGTTATAAGTATGGGAAACATGGTCATTAAGCTGAGGATGGAGGAATTAGCAGCTGATAATAAACCAAGGAGATGGTGTATTGAGGAAGAGGATTATTCATCTGCCCCGTTTAAAATAAAGAGTGTAGTCTTTAAATAAACCAGTTCATGAATCAACTGATTTATTGGTGGAAAACCTTATAGTGAAATTGCTTTCATATACTTTCATGAAAATTCATCACCTGTCTAATATTCCAATGTAGAAACTGAACATGTTCTCATGAGTATAAATGAAAACAAGAGATATATTGCATATTACAATAATTCCTTACAGGTCACAAAGTCTTAACATTCAGGTCAAATACTTTATTTTCTTTCACTTGTGGCTTATTAATTATGTTTATTATATGATTGATTCATTTGTGTCATGTATAAATTCATACATGTATGCCTCTATATAAATTCATTTCTCATTTTACACCAATACATAAACTAATAACTTTCAACAGATTGCCTCTGATTCCCAATCTTATTACTTGATAATTATTTGTGTTAACTGAGTTATTTGGGTCAGTAGCTATTGTTTAATAAAATGCTGACATCTATAAATTGTCAAACTTGTGTTTGTTTTTTCAGGCATCATAAAATAAATAATTACTGACCAAGTCCAACTGAACTAAAACTTTTCAACTACAATTCTCGTAAGTCAGGATCAATTATCTGTGATGTTGCTGTAATAGATATCAATACACACATAAACAAACACAATATCTCACTGCATACAGAGAAGTTGCATGTCCTACAAGTGTACTGGCAACAAAGGAAAGCTCACTGACCCATGACCCACTCATTTTATCATTCAGTGCTTGTTGTATTAGCTGCTTATGGGATAGCTTTGGTTGGCAGACTGAGTCCACCAGTAACACCTTTAACCTCCTTTCGGTAGTTTGGGGGGTAAGTTCAACCAGAACTGGAGTTGAGTTATCCTGTCTAGCATAAATCTGGGATGCCTATAAAGGCCAGTCCACTCATTTTCAGACTCACTAGATGCTACACCACAGCAATAATTTTCTGTATGTGAGAAAGAGATCTGATATTCTTGATGAATCAGATTCTGACAGTGTTCTTTTTCCTGGGTTATTGGCAAAGGTTCTACATCTGGAAGCGGACTTCTTCTAAACCCAACTGCTCTCTGAGCTGACCACATCCCTTCATTGACTGATTATTAGTCTTTTTAATCATGCAAAATGCCTTTCCTAATGTTGAAGAATTTTTAATTTAAGCCCCACAAGAGTAGGATTAAAGGTCAGTACACACATCAACAATTATAGCAAAATCTACAACAACCCAGGTTTGAATCCTGTTTATGGCACCAACATTTTCCCATTACCTATCAATTCTGTGGTATATCCATGTAAAACTGAAATAATTAGAGCTTCACCGGAAAGGACTGTTTGCTAATTGGAAATATAATCAGAATATCGATTACAGAGTAATACTAAAACTCTTATTAAGTGGATCAGTTAAATGAGACTGGACACAGTGAAACACTAAATGAACAATCTTTATTATAGAACAAACAGAGTATGTGTACCTGATTAGATGTTTAAAACACTCTGTACCACTGGATGAACTACTAATGCTCAAGTTCTACTATACTATATTCAGTAATGTTCCAAACTAGGCTTTCCAATCTAAGGTTTCTTAGTGTCAAAGAAACCTCGCACTTATCCATTATGACACATAATACTCAGAGTACTGGTCATTCTCCTTAAATAATAGCTGAAGACATAACCTCTAGATATCATTTGAACAGCCAGGGAGGACACTTCTGTCAACATCCTTACACAATGTGCTGCATCAAGCAAAGTCCACATCAAGCTGAAATAGGTATAATCTACTTAAGATAAGAACAAAGAAACAATGGCTTTCTTGACAACAAGTTATGTGAAACTTGTACATATTCAGAACAAATAATGAATTCATAATAAATATTATAATATTACAAGAAGACAGAAGCCCATACTATTGTTGAAACATATTCTGTCATTGGGTAGATTATTTTATATTATTTGGTAAACTAATTCTAACCCATTTCATGTTATTTCCAACAGTAATGCTTGCTACAGGTTGCATTCACTTTTAAACTAGCTGTAGGCCTAAGATCACAAACAACGTTTCATCAGAATTTCCTAAGCTTATGTACACCTAACTCACAAATAAACTTACTTACAGAAATTCCTTGCTAATTGATTGAGTAAATAGATAGACACAATAGCTCTCACTTTTAACACTGAACTAAATCACTCACTGAATAATTCTGAACACTCTGAATCTCGTCTTTATATTGTTCCATTTTTTCTACATATTGCATCTAAAAAGTTCTTACCTTTAATGAACTTTCTAGATATGTTTCATCACCAGCATGCTTAGCAATATATACATCTAAATTGATATACTAAAGTATAACTGATTACAATATCGTTGTTGTAAAGTTATTCTTTCATTGGCATGTTCTTTTAAATTATCTGGTGAAAATAATTCAAAGCCAGTCCACGTAAATAATAACTAATTAGTTTATTTATTCCTTAACGTTTTTTAAACTTGCATACTGTAACAGGTATGGGTTTTATTTACAAGTGATGTTAAATGCAATACAGTAACGTAAAGAATAGATTTACTTGCATCACTTCATGGCTGAAATGAAAAAAAGAAAACAAAATATTGACTGATTCGCTCTACCGACTAGAAACAATTATATTATCTTGAAACAACTCTCTATCTTCGTAACTATCTTTTGAACTATTCCTTAACTACTTTCATGTCGCTTCACTGAATATGAATTTATTTTATACCATCAAATGTACTAGAAACCTGACGTCAAATCTTCAGAACTTTCTAGTCCTGATTTAACGTTTTATTTATGCATCATTACTAACTGCAGCCCCCTAACATTAAAAATAGAATTTACAATAGTATATTTAATTGCCACAAAGATTGTTTGTTTGTTTTGTTTTGTTTTTATTTCGCGCAAAGCTACACGAGGGCTATCTGCGCTAGCTGTCCCTAATTTAGCAGTGTAAGACTAGAGGGAAGGCAGCTAGTCATCAC